AAACAGAATTCATTGATACAGTACTTTGTGGAAAAAGCGGACAAACACTTCAGACTATGTCGTCTGACAGACTTAGTACACATTTCCACATAGTTTAGGAACGCAAACCTATTAAAACGTATTACTTTAATATGTAAAAATACAACATATTTTTTTCCAGGTTTGTACTAACCTTGTCTGTTATTCATCTGATTCCAGGGACCACCTGGTCTTCAGGGACCAAATGGCCCACTAGGAGAAGAAGGCAAGAGAGGGCCCAGAGGGGAGCCTGGTTCTGCTGGACCACTGGGACCCCCTGGAGAGAGAGTAAGTGCACAGCATGCTTTCTTTTTCCAGTTCTTTAAAACATGCTGCTCGGGAACTCTTGGGAAAGTAATATTAAATATATCACAGAATATCACAGTGTCAGGGTTTTCCTACACCTAACTTACTGTTATTGCTTACTCTGTGATGGAAGGGTGCGTATTCGTTGGGTAAAACTTTGCAGCCCATTTAAGGCCCACTGTGAGATTGGGATATTGCTGTTTAAATAAAGCTTAAATCTAATTTTGTGTTTTCCATTTAGGGAACTCCCGGTAACCGTGGTTTCCCTGGTCAAGATGGTCTGGCTGGTCCAAAGGTAAGCTTCATGATGGTTTCACTGACACTCCAGAGAAGAGTTTTGGTTTGTGAAAAGGAAGTGAAGCGCTCCAAACAGCCACAATGAGCTGAGTAGAGCATGTTTTAGGCATCTGGTCAGTAGTTGCAGGTGTAAAACTGTGTATGTGAATAAATGTGTGTGAATACATTCAGTTATATGTGATACACAGACATTAATTTAAACTTTTCCATAAGACATAAAAAGATAGAATTAGAATAGAATATAATTCAACTTTATTGTCATTGCACATGCACAGGTACAGGGCAACGAAATGCAGTTTGCATCCATCCAGAAGTGCTTTAGCCATGATATAGATATATTACAATATATATTAGCAATAATATAGATATGTAAGTATATTACAGAAATGGGTCTATTATGGTATGTTATAATGTACACGTATGTACAGGCTATGAACAGGATATAAATATGAAAAAAACTATACAGAATATGAGATATACAGTTATACAGAAATGTGAACTATGCAAGTTATAAACAGTTGTAGGATTAAAAATTATCGTATGTACAGAATGATTATTTATACAGAGCTATACAGTAGTGCAGTTAAGATCAGTGAGATATGTGGATAATTTCTACAGAGGCTATATAAAGTGCTAGTGGTTGTGAGTGGTGGTTCAGTCCATGTTATTATTGTGTGTTTGAAGGTACGGTTGTCCATTGTGTGTGTATGTCCAGTCCATGAGTTTAACGTGGGTCAGATGTAGGGCTGCACGATTTTGCATAAAATGAGAATCACGATTTTTTTTGGCTTAGAATTGAGATCACGATTCTCTCACAATTTTCTTTTCCAATATAAATATTTATTGCACTTATTAACTGCACATCAACTTCGTAACAGTTGAGACTGAGCATAAAAACAATAAACAAACATAAAAACAACAAATGTCTCACGTTTTGTCG